CCTGTTAAAATGTCTTTGTAAAACCCTTTCCAAAATGTCGTTCGCTAGGCATCCGTATCATTATATTATCATCAGCTTATAGTTTACAGTAGAATGTTTAAGCAAGTGGCATCCCTTTTAAGAAAATCAGACCATAAGCTATCCGTTTGCCAAACTTTATATGCATTTATAACACATTATGCGATTGTCCATGTACTATTACACTTCGGGTTTCAATTCTTCATTGCTTTAGCAACCAAGCGAAAAATTCAAAAAAGTGAGACGAGATATATTTCAAACGTTCTAATGTTTTCGGATGTTTATATAATATTAAGTGGGCCATGGGCCGATTTGGTCAGTTTCCAAGATTGTGGTGATTGAAGTCAAACATGTATTGTTTGATAAGTTAATAGTAGTTTCAAGTATAAAAGTATTTATATACATTAACGTCATACAATTAGGGTGAGAAACGCCCATTTTAAGTCCATTTATGCAGTCTTGAAAATTGTTCGCGATCTCTAATTCTGCCGTTATATGAAAGTAGGGGACGTGCAATAAGTGTTTAGATAAACATAAATATTTTAGTTAATTCCATGATGTGAAAAAGTGACTGTAGGTAAATGCAATAGTATTTAACATATCCTGGGAAATCCTTTTGAGGACTCTCCAATTGGACGATATTGCTTTGCATTTAGCTTGAACGAAAAAAGTCACTCCCTGACACCCTTTTCCGTAATCCGGCTCTTTCATTTAAAAGTTATTTATACAATTTAAGAGAAATTTTTTTAGAAAAAAGCTGGAGATCCACTTAAATTTTTCCATATAACTTTGGTAAATGTTACTCGATCGGTACTTAATAATTACCAAATTGAAGGCGAGACTTAATGCTACCGATTTTTGATAATAATATGATTAAAATCGCTCAGATTATAAACAAATTATTTTAAAACAAAAAAAATGTTGAACAAAGTTTTTTGTTATTTTCTTATATTTGCAATTTTTATATTGTATGCATAAATATAAGTAAACCAATTAGTGTTTCAAGAGGTTGTGCCTGTTCAGTGTTTCCAGATCCATTTGCATAAACAAAATTTTTCCACGATGATGGAAAATAATGGCTTTTCTATTAGAGTTACCGAAATTGTCCCTATATTTGCAAAAATTCGCAAACTATAGCTAATATTAAAAAAAGATTAGAATATTTGGAACCAGCGACATGCCAGCACGCCAGCAATATTAAAGCTGTTCTTTACATCTTTTGAGTATAATCCAGTGCAATTATCAAGAGAACAATTCAAATTTTATTGAAAACAGATAATCTTGAGATTAACGATAAGCTAAAGGGCTGCGAGAAATGCAATTTGACTTTATCTTTTGCTTAAACGGATTCATTATCTAATAATATGCACCAAACCATTTTGCCGATCCCAGAATTTATAACAAGAATTGGTCTTATTCGACTAGTGTGCTGTGGGTCACCTTGCGGTCGATGCGCGGCTCTTACAACTAAAATAAAATACTAATATTTTGCAGGCTTGTTGTTGACTTCATGATACAATATATTTTCACTATTACCAAGGGATCTGAGAAAAATTAGATTTTCGACCCGCCCTAATGTACATATATCGAAAATATATCTTGGCATATACTTGTTGAATTTTGGCACACAAAAAAAGATGTATGTGGCAACCGTGCTTGTGAATACCCTAATTACAAATGTGTTAATTCAGATCTTAAGAGAACAAGTTTCTTTATAATGCTCTGTACCAACAGCTCAATTTCATACCATACAAACTTTCCAGCATACACATCTCGTTCTCTGCGCCTCTGTTTGAAAAATTGTTTGACACTAGTGACATCGTCACCTCCTTAAATTGGCACACGCACATGCTTGGTGTTACTCATGATACAATAATTTTTAGAAGGTAGTTTCACTTCAAAATTTTTGACATAAACCGTGTCTGTGACAAACACGCAATGTGGCCACTGCTACGATATAGAACTTGGGGATTATCGCTTGTTATTTTAGATATTTTTTAACAGAACATGTAAAGATTTATATGTTTCATAACTGATCACATAATTTTTAATATAAATATACGTATTTTATACATACATTTTTGCCACTGCTAATCACATGAATAAAAATCATAAAAATGAAAATATAACAGCAATATTTCTTCTTTATAATGGATTAGATTCATCGCACACCACGGACTTTATCGGCCGCCAACTTAGATGTGCTCGCTAGTCTTTCCATTGCACCACAACTTATTGGTCAGAGCGATTAAGCTGGTGTAATGTGCGCACCTCCATACATCTTCATGTACATATTTCAAGCGAGCCCTATCATTTAAATAGGCGGCCGATAAAGTCTGTGGTGTGCGGTGGCTCTTATAGCTGTGCCATTACATCTATTCCGTGTGTTGCAATATCCACGAAAGCAGCAGTTAATTTTTTATGAAGAAAATTATTACAAAATATTCGAAAATTCCTCTACTTATATGTTTGGCTTTTCTTTGTTTTGTTTTTCCAACGTCAAAATTTTTTTTTTGAAAAAGTTGGTACAACAAAAAATACGAAACACGTTTTCTGTCAGATAGCTAACATGGCGGATAAGAAGAAGAAGTGAAACTACCTCTAAAAATTATTGTATCATGGTGTTACTAATATTATGACGTAACTAAAAAAAATAAAAAAAAAGTATTGACATTTCATGACAGTTATTAGTCACACACTTAAAAAGACATAAAAAGAGAAAACAAATAAAAAATGTAAACAAAAGTAAACATTGTTTATCAATTATAGCGGTACAAGTACCTAGCCGGCATCCCCGCAAAAAGCAGTTGCGTGTTATAAATTTTAAGGGCTAGGCTGGGAACATCACGAATCTTTGTTAGCTTTAGCGCCTCCAATGTTATATGATTACATACTTACATGCATATACTACTTATATAGATGTATGTATGTATGCTAAACAAGTATGTGGCATCTTTTTAAGTACATATGTATAGTATATATATATGTGGATCGTAAAATGTAACGAGTTTTAATATGTATATCCGTTAAAAGGTATACATACATATGTAGGTACAAGGTTAATGCCGAGTGTATTCGACAATACTCATGACACTTGACAGATGGATTATTTTTAAGTCAATAGTCTTCGTTTTATAAAGTTTATCTACTTGACCTTGCCTTACTAAGATAGCTAAGATAAACGTTTACAGAAGCTGTTACAGACACTTTTAATGGTGAATGGAGAACCTTCTTTTAATAAATATATATCGACTAAATTGCCCCTTACCTGCTGCGCTGAGTGTATGGCATCTGCGTTGCATGAGGTGTAATTTATTTCAGTTAACCTCAACATACTTAAACTCAGCCAAAATCCTCTAACCTCTTTCGAACCCTCTTTCTTAAGCCAAAATATTTTTTAAATTTATTAGATTCAAAAAATTAAATTATTTTTAATTTGTTTTCAAAACATTTTCGATATTTTTGTTGATTAAAATAATTTTTTCGAAGTTTTTTATTTTCAGTTTCGTTAGTTTGATTCCCATATAAAACCAAATTGATTTTGAACTCCGAAACAGCTGGCAATCCTCATAAGAATCATTTTCAAATAAAGCTTTTTTAAACCTCACTGTGTTTTGATACCCAGATAATAATATCTAATTAAACAAATGTTAATTAAAATAACTTCTACATTTTGCACAGGTGGCAACGCTCTTTAAAGTTATTTCGAAATAAATTGTTTTACAATCCCCTTCGTTTGATACTCACATTTTTGTATTATTTTATGTATTTAACTTTTTAATTAATTTACTTAAAAAGGTGGCAACTCTCCTCAAAAAATATCCTATGTCTTAATCCAGTTCCTAGGCTATCTGTGCGGTCAATTTGATTCAAATACGTCCAGAGGTTTTAGCGTGACAGAGCAACGAACATACTCACGCTCATGCAGCGCACAGCATATTCAGGATGAGCATAATCCTTTCCTCAAGTCTCATTTAGATAAATACAAAACGATAGCATAGGGATGCTGTATAGGATTTATTAAACAAAAAACGAGTTTTATGTAGCTTCTTGACCTTTTCAGAAAAATGAGATATCGACATATTTCAATTTGTAAATAAGAAAATAGCTTGACCAAAATGAGAGTAAAAAAAAATAACGAGTAAAAATTTTATCTTTTTAAAATTAGAACTTTTTTCGCGTTCAATGGTAATTTTTCCATTGCAGAACGATAGCCATGTAAAAAAATATCTTTGCCGAGACTCCTGAGAAGCCAACGAAGAAAAACTACAACGAACTCATTCGTTTTAGACGTTCATCGTTGGTGAGTGGGTTTACTAGGATTGACTAGTATTTTTGATGCGAGTCGGGCTAAAACTGTAAGGCCATCTATTAGTGAGCCTTTGTAGCCGATTTCATCGCGGTAAAGCGGGCATGACCAGCGCAGGCCACTTGCTTATGGAATTCTGCCAGCGTTGGGCATGACTGCTCTAAATGATGCACATTTGTACTTTTTCTACGTGGCCCAATAAATAGTAGTCTTATCTTGCCGCGTCCAAACCATCTAAACTACTTGTTTATTGTTATATTTGGGAGCTTTTCGAAAATATTTCGTCTTTTTTCTTTAGCTTTTAAATTGTAGATCTGGACAAATATCTAAGGTATGAAAATGCGTTATTTTATTGTCATGGTTTTATTTAAATTGCATTCGTTTTATCTCGCTGATTATTCCTGAAAGACTTGCAGCCCCATCATAAATTAGTCAAGCTGACAAGCGACGATTATGTCCACCTAATTCTAAGCAAAAATTTAAGCGCTTTGTACAAATACCTTATGTAGAATAAGACAAAAAATACACAGAAATGAAATTTGGATGCAAATAAAATTTAATTTTAAATATACACATACATACATACATACACACTTAATCTTAAGTGAACCAAGTGGTGATAAGAAAGCGTCCGCGTCAGACGGACCAAGATAAACCCAAACGATTTACGGTGCTATTTATTTTTTGAAAAAAAAACCCTTTTAAAAGTAGCTGGCGTATAATCGTTTTCGTGGAAAAATGTGAACAATAATATAATTACTGTCCACAGCGATATGTTGCAATGCAAAAATTAAACGAGTTTAAATGAATGAGATTAAAGAGGCGAGTGCGGCAGTTTAACAGTCAAACAAATGTGTGAAAATATAAATATTCGCAGTGCCCGGAACTGCCAAGCCACATAAGCGGGCTCAGAAGCGAGTTCAGAAGAACTAACTAAACTCATTACAAAACCAAACACAAAAAAAAATATTCTCATCACCACCATGAACAAGGTCGCTACCGAAGAACCCAGCACTTCAAGCGCTACGACGAAGCATGTCAAAATCAACTCTTCCGCCGTCAAAGCCACCAACACCACAACAACCGATACTGCCACCTTGCCGAAGAAAAGCGCGGCACCCTCTACTTCGACTTCGACGCCCACCCTCGCACAAATTGGCACACAAACATCGCAGCATTTTCGTCTCAGTCAAATCTCCGACAGCGGTGCTGAGGGTGGCGACGAACAGACGCGCCTCATACGCTCACCCTCCGCGCGTTCGCATAAATTCATCATCATACCCGCCACACCGCCCACGCCCAATTTAACGCCTACCGGCTCAACAAAAGAAAAACCTCCCACATTTCGACCAACCTTCACAGCAAACTCATTGTCCACTCTAGCGGCCACAATCCAGAAGACGCCCGGCACAAGTTCACAACAAACCACAAAACAACAGCCGCCATTACAAAGACCGAAATCAGTGGCGCGTCAGTTGTCTGCGTTAGCATCGGCGGTGGCGGTGGCGGGCACAATAACTACAGTAGCCGCAGCACAACTGCAGCCGATGCCGCCGCCAAACGGAGAGAATCAAATACCTACGCCGACTACAGTTAATCAGTCAATGCTCACATCGCCGCACCACAGCTCAATTAATTTCACGCGCGGTGCATTAGCAGCCGCAACAGCAACGGCAGCAGCAACACCATCATCATTAACACGTTCAGCAAAATCACAATCGGATGTAGCTCATCAGTCGACTAGCGCTAATACGCCAGCCAAAACAGCAACAACAATAGCAGCTGCGCTTAATAATAATGCAGCTGGCGTGACATTTACAATTGAGGATTGCGAATCGGATGGTGGCGTTAGCAGCGATTATATGCCTGCCTTCGATGCAACACTTCATCCGAGCAATGCAACCGCAATCAGTTCCATTAAATCCGCGACGAAACTCACACCCGCATATACGATTGCTGTCGGTACACAGACGCCACTCTCCTCATCGACAACAGCGTTGGTTACAGCCAGCACAGCACCCGCATCCACAGCAGTCTACCCCTACTATCGTAGCGCCTTGACTGCCAGCGAAACAACGCCATATTTGCAAGGGTTTAGTTCACGCGGCCGCAGCGAGAGGAGCAGCATGAGATCGGTGGTATCAGGTGAGTAATTCGATAATGAATAATGTTAATACTTAGATTAGAAATTATGGAAAATTCGTTAGCCTACTGAATTAAGTTTTCCAATAGTCCAATAGGCAGTGATTAAGTGAAACTAGGGAAAATTGTGAGAGTCACCCTTTTAGGCGGTCATTGCAGAATGCACACCTCAAAGTGACGCAATGCTTTTCTAATGTGTACCACAGATGACTATGAAGCTTCAGAAGGAATAAGGGCAAGGGTCCAATAACAAGATGTGTGCTTCTAAGTATGAGGCCATATCTGAGCATATTTCAGGCGGAACTCTATGCCATTATCATGTCTGCGAAGTTAGACTTACGAAGGAACTACTAGAATAAGAGATTTGCAATCCCAGGTGATAGCCACATGGTGATCAATGTTCTTTTATCTAGTAAAATCAAACCATCCTTATTCCTTAATAACATTGAGAAACTAAACTTTCTTGGTGGGTACAACGACGCCCACGCCACAAGGGATTACAGTGAAATGTAATAACAACAATATTGCAAGAGATGCAGCGGCTAACACTTCAGTTGCCCACGAGCCAGTGCTATTAAAGAAGAGCTCCAGAAGAAGGGGTACATATTGCTGGAACTAAACTGGCAAAGGCAATCAGGACTGCGACAGGCAAAGTGCTTAATAATAATATTTTGGCGCTTAACACCTTTGCTAAGTATTTGGCCGAGCTTGTTCTCCAATTTGTGGTGTGCGTCCTAATGTTATAACACAAATAGAAGGACATACAATTTTACGTCGCCTCCCAAAGGAAAATTTTACCAAAGAAACTTTTTTTAATTTAGATGTTGCTCTGACTATGGCTCGAACCAAGGTCCTACGGAGTGGTAGTACACATATCTAAGCACTTAGCCAAAGCGACCGCGGAATGCTTATAAGGAATTTATAAAAGGAAGAGTTTTTAACATCTTATCAGAAAGAAGCTTAGAATATTAACAAGTATCCTAACAGGTATTTTAGCCAGAAAGTTCAACAGAGAGGTCATCTTCACAATCTCGGGTTATGGCCGAATAATATCTATTTCCTGTGACGCTCGCCCAAGGAGATGTCTTCTTAATTAGCCGTCATAAAAAAAAACTGTATTAAAGCTGATAGTTTTTACAAAAAATTTTGAGTTTTGTACGCCCAAGAATCGTGTAGGTTGAAAGCTCTCCCTCATGATGCGAGATTTTAGTCCCAATAGCTTGTCCCTGAGCATGACTTAGGAGTAGCAAAAGGTCTGAAGAGATTTATAGTACTTATATCGAACCCGCCTTCTTCCAGAAGCTATAAAGGTATGACTTTTTTTAGAACTGAATTTATATTAACACACTAAAGTCCACATTGGAAAGAATCCTCACCGGAATTGCCAGTTAGAGTTAGGCTTAGGGCTTCGCCGGAATCGGACCGTCTTACTGAACTTATCAAATCTAAAGCAGAGGCTCCAGAATAAATTAAAAGTCTGGAAAGTACAAAAGTAGATAGTGAAATTCCCTCAGAATTCGAAGAGCATCGTGAACGCGTAACACCGTAGGTTAGCGTCGAATAGAAATTCGCACTCAATATGGGCAATAGGAGATTGCTATCCTGAGTTCACGCTGTAAACACACTTGGTTGACTAGCCAACCCTCATATGGACCACGTTTTGTTTAAGATGGATTATATCGTCGAGGTGTATATTGGGTTAGGCGGGTTGCTCTCGTTGAGGGTTTCCTCGAAAGTCACACAAGCGCATTTCACAAAACTCGTCTCGACATGTCTTTAAACTATTCCCATTTTTTGGCAAATCTTAGTAAAGCGCTTAACAAGGTTTTCGCCAGGCTGTTTAAGTTCTCGAAGAAAAGGTATCCCAAATATTTGGTGCGCTTTCGCCCGTGATGTTGGTAGCGCTTTTTTGTCCTACACCTGGCGGTCATATGGACAATATAGCAGAATCCCTTTAGTATTTATTCTGATTATAAGACGAATATTTGGTTTCTAGAGCCTACCAAACTCCACGTTGTTTGTTTATTGATCTAATTAATCTACCTGCGGTTAGTAGTTGCTTTAGCCATCTTTCCACTGCGTGAAAACCACAATCTGTATGCCTTGACCCGCTCCACTAATCGTGCCTCATATTCCTTTGTCGGGTACTTATCTATTTCAATATTTTCCGGTATAAACCATGGGTGCCCAGTAGAGATTAAGTGTATGCTGACGAAGAAATCGTAGTTATCTTCATCGGGCGAATATCGACTTATTCGTTGTTGACACAAAGGCTTTGATCAAAACTTGACGGTCCACAACGATGAAGGTCAGTCCTGCAAGGCACTGTAGTAATCTGGGAGTAGGCTTCTATCAAAAAAACATGGTAGAGAGAAGATGCCAGATGATGTTCCGATATCGATATTAGGGCCATCTGTGTAGAAAATTTAATAAGTTCAGAATAAAACGCAAATAATATTTTTAAAGGGCCCTAGTTTGCAGCCTAAATAATATTTGGAAGAGAATTGCATCTGCTTCAAGCGTAGTTCAATGGGCAGATTTTGGATTAGGAGCCTTTGCCCTTTTTGGACAAGCCAGAAAGAGTAGAGCGTCTAGAGCTTCTTTACTTTTTAACTTCAACTAAATCATCTGAAAATCTATTCCGAGCGACAATAAATTTTAATAGAAATGCGTTTTGTTGAAAACAGACGGCATCGTGTTGGTGGTCCGGAAATTTAAGCACTTTCATTTATTGTTATTCTTATTAGGGTATACTAGCACTTCGACCTTGCTAGATGTATTATTCTAGCCCTCAAAAATCATTCGAATATTCTGCTATGAATGTATGAAGTTAATAACTTTGTTAGGTGTCGTATTCCCTATTCTGGACAGAGGCGACAATAGCTTTCCGAAAGTTATGTATCTATGACTGTATCTAACCTAACCTAACCTAAGACCATTACTTTCTGGTGGCCAATGGGGCGTTTTACTCCCTCCAGCCTAGATTAAGGCGTCGCGCAGAGACTCCTTAGAAGGAGGTGTAAGTCTTTTGAACTGCGTTTTCCATCCGATATACGTTTCTGGGCTGCAAGCAGAGCTTTTTTCCTTGGGAAAACAGAAAGCCGGAAACAGGCTCCGCTTTGCTCGTTATAAAAATATTTCGGACGTAAGCTTAACGATGCCAGTTTAACTTTTTGAAGAAAGTCACTTTAGCTGACTAATTTTGTAACTAATTACAGATTAACTCAAAAAGCTATTCAGGAGCGTTTAGAATAATGTCTGTATGTATTTACTTATTTTATTTTTATGTACATACGTTAAGGTGCCCCACCGGCTTTCCGCCGGAATTATAAAATTTGTTATACTTAAATACAGCCGCCAAAATATTTGTGGAAAATAAAAGTAAAGTTGGCTGGACCGATTTTAAAAGATCCCCCAAAATTGAGTTTTTTATAAATAAAATTAGTTTTTAAATTCATGTTTTCCAAAAAATCATCTCAGATCATAGAAGAACGGTCTACGTAAAAATATTTGAAAATTTTATCAACGAAATCAAATAAAATGTGATTTTTTAAGATATTTTCAAATCGGTCTAGCTCACATAATTCTTAATATTTTTCCGAAATATTTTGCCGAAAATCTTAAAATATAATAAATTTTGTAATGCCGACGGAAAAACAGAAGTGATTTTTTTTTTTAATAATGAGTTATGCACCCTAATGTACATAAATTTTCTTAAAGAAACTAAACTTTATTTCTAAGAACTTACTTTTATTATTTCACTACACCGACTTATCACCCTTTCAGCTTACATTCCCAGCTCCCAGGACCCCCTTGGCGATGCGCTGGCACAATATGAGCAACAGCAACAGCAACAACAACATTATTTACGACCCAGCCATTCGGGTAAAGATTTAAGCGCTAGTTCCTCATTCATTTATCATGATCACGTTGCCAATCAAATATATTCGGATGTGACGTCGGTACGCTCAATAGCATCGATTGGCATCGGTTCGACGGATGGACGTAGATTGGTGATTAGACGAGTGCCGCATACCCCGCATGAGCTATTCAATATGGTGCATCCACCGACGCCACCGTAAGTACATTTGAATGAGAGTAGCTTAAGTTTTAACGGGTTTACTTATCAATAGTTACATACATACATACTAGGAAAATAGTTGTAATATGTTAATGTATGCTGAATGTGGCTTACTTTGAGAGCTTTACCTAATACTCAAACAAGTATGTAAATGTGCACGTGCATATGTGATAATTACTGTCATTTGTGATAATTATCGATAGGGGACATATTTGACTGTTTTAAAATTACCTCAAAGTTTCGTAAACAATTGTATTTATATGAGTATTGGATATAATTTCGTTCTAAGATAAAAAATACCGGGTTTAAAATATTTCTATGAAAATCTGTATCTGTGTAGTTTCTTAATGAAAATACATACATACACACATATGGACTTGTGTACATTATGTATTCAAATTCTCAACTCTTTTCATATTCCTCTTTTTTGGAGTAATAGCACATTTCCACCAAAACCTTGACTGCAATTAAGATCTCAGATAAGTTCCAAGAAAGTTATCGGGTGATCGGCAAGGTTTACTTCTTACTTCTGGATTTTTTACTTTCGTTTTCTTGTATTTGATATGAGCAATTGCCCCCTTCGCGCGTAATTGCTTTATGTTGGCGGCTTCCACATCAATCGTGGTATCGTAGTTGGTTCTCAGGCCTGCTGACGTAGTAATGCAGCATCCAACACAACCCTCCAATCACCAAAAGAAAGAGACGAGGTTAGAGCAAGGAACCTTGTCGAACCCCGCTGTGAAGTTCGGCGGTCTCAGACAGCTTTCCATTGTGAAGTAGACGACACGTAGCTCCGTCGTATATGGATTTAGTTACAGTTTTTTCGGGCACTGCTGTACGGGGCAAGGCTGCTCAAAGGCACTCTCTATGAACACTATCGACAGCCTTTTCTAAATCGACAAACATCCAATGCAGATCAGCTCTGAATTTGGCACACTACTCGATGATGAATCTCACTGTGTTTATATGGTCTTTGCAGGACAATCTCGCCTTGAAACACGCCTTAGAATTGTCGATAGTAGAATTTAAATGTTTCATTCACGCCAGTTATGACAATTAATTCATTTGCAAAAGTCGGAGTGTCGTCAGATAAAACGTGGTTCAGAACTGACTCAAAGTGCTCTGTCCATCTAGCATGTTGCTCCTCTTCCGAATGCTCTACATAGATTACCATGTTCGCTCCTCACAGGGTGCTCGCTACTCTGACTAGGCTATTTATATGGCTGCGTTTGTCGTGTCTTATACTCAGTTTTGTTGCAATATTTTTTAAAAAATCACGCATAGATCAGATCCCCTAGAAAATCGTATATAACTTAATATACTTAATTCCAAATTCTTTATTGCACCGCTCCTCCTTTATGAGCTAAAGAACACAACAATTCAAAATACAAATTTCTTCAACTCAAATAGCCAACTGCGGTCAACAATTGTTTTTCATAAACATATTTTTTATTGACTTAATAAGTCTAAATGGTTTTCACGCCGAATTATTAAGGTGAGAAAGTTTATATATGCTATCAAAAAAATAAAAAAATTAGACTAACCAAAATATTAAATAAAGGTTTACGCACAAATATTTGCGATACGGCAAACATAATTTTAACACCACCTTAAAAACCGCTGGACAGTGCAATGAAAATAAAAGAGCCATATGGCAACAGCGGCGGCACACAACAGAGATTCGGGCAGATGGGTACGTCAGCAGAAAATCGAAGTCACTATTTTATTTTTTAATCTACAACACGAAAGCGTGTAGTAACAATTCATTTGCACAGAGTTATTGTGCGTGCACATAAAAGTCTATAAGAATGCTCCAAATTGGAAATACAAGCCCTGTTTTAATGGATTTACACAGTGTGAGCTAAAATTAAGTGCGCTTAAAATGTTTTTAGTGAGTAGCCCAGTTAATTTGCATTTGCTACAAACTTATTTAAATTGTCAATTAACAAGTTAAATAGGTATGTGATTACAATAATTTAATAAACTAAATGAACTATTTGTATACATATATCGAACAGTTCAAAGTTGTTTTGTAAAGGTTTCAAGATTATTAGCGCCTATTGGAAATTACAATCGCAACGACTACGGCACCTGATACGGACGGCTTTCGCAAGTATTAAATATATGTTTTCCACCTTTCCGAAAGCTACCGCTACATGATAAGCCGGGCTGTATAAATATTAAGAATATTGAAATTTCAAGCATTTATGAAATTTACAGTTATATGAAAAGCGGCCGTAATTTTAGTCGATTTCAACAATTTTCAACGGTTTGCTTTTATGTGGCAAGCACAATAACCATACCGAGTTTGGTACAAATTGCTAAAACGGTTAGCGAGATACATATATGTGATCATAAGTGGGCGGTGCCACGCCCATTTTCCAAAATTTTATCATAAACGTATTTATTGGTAAAGAATTGTTGCGACAAACCAGTTCGAATAAATTAGCTTTATTATTAACTGATTTATCGAGGATTTCGTATTTCTCTAAATTACCGTTATATGGGATGTGGGCGAGGTTATTATCAGATTTTAAAAATTTTCCGCCGTTTGGTACGCTGTGCCAGGGCCAACAACTGTGCCAAGTTTGGAAGAAATGTGTGCAGCGGTTACCAAGATATACACATGTAACCATAAGTGGGCGTGGCTACGCCCATTTTCCAAAAATTTTCAATATTCTTATTTTTCGTCTAACAATCATTGTAAATATCAATTTTTAGTGAATTATCTTCAGTAGTTACTAAAATATCGCAGTTTTCGTATTTCTGAAAATTACCGTTATATGGGAGGTAGGCGTGGTTATTGTCCGATGTCGCCCATTTTCAATACCGTCCGTCCTACGCCCAAAGGAAGTGCACGTACCAAGTTTCGTAAAGATATCTCAATTTTTACTCGAGTTATCGTGTGCACAGACGGACGGACGGACGGACAGACAGTCACCGCTTAATCGATTTCTCTTTTCATTCTGATCATTTATGTATACATTTGTCTATTTCTATCTCGATTCGTTTTGCCTGTTACAAACAACCGTTATGTGAACAAAGTTATAATACCCTTGTGCACAAGTGCGCTCGGGTATAAAAACTTTCGACTATCCACCACCGACTTCGTGTTCTCACCGAATCTTTCGCATATCCAGCGCCTCAACATTCGTTCGGCACCATGACGCCACGCGCCAATGCAGAAGTCGAAAGTGCTTCAACAAAATACTCGGAATATTCTTTTTATCGTTTTAATCGTATTGCCAAAGTGTAAGTTTTTTCTTTAAACAGAAATAGCTTTAGAATACCAAACTGTATATACTTAACGTGGCGTTATATTTATTGCATAAAAGGCAATGAAACATTTTCACGTGATACCTTCGCCGCCAGCGATTACATCATAAAATTCAAATGCACTCATTGTTATTCGTTTGCCACCCGAGTCAATATGCTTTTCTTCGTTTCAAAATGTGTGAAAATGCTTTTTGTTAATTGTTCGAGTTTTCTATGTACATATAATAACACTGTACGGCAAAATCAACTTTTTTTCTGGGTATTGGACCAATCCAATTTTTTTTAAGAGATTGAGTCTTAGGTAAAAAAAGGCATTTCTCCGTTTTTCGAAGTTAGCCTCCGAAATCGAGATATGGGCCTTCGAAGTTGAAAATAGGACCTTTGGTAAAAAATTATTTTTAATTATTATATGTAAACAACTAAAAACCTAAAAATATAGATGTAGTCCGCTTTTTGCTCGTATTTGAATGGTATATAACTTTTTTGCGCAAACTTATATTAAAAATGCTGTGAGGGGTCAAAGGTCGGGTCTTCGAAAAATTAAAAACCTTATAATTCGAAAAATTTTGATTTGATTTTTAAAAAATTGATATCATTACAAAGGTGATTAAGCCCCCTTTCTTTTGGTATGCATACTTGTATACTTCGTATGTAACAATTTGAGAAAAAACATTAAAAACTAAAAAATACCTTTTTTTTATAAAAAGAATTTTTTAAACAAAAAGATTATTAACCGATTTTTAAAAACTTGATATCGTTGTAAACGCAATTAAACCTTCTTTCTTTTTTCTCCTTTTTTCTTTCCTTGTTACAAAAAAAACTGTCACCGATGTACTATTTACCATGATAAAAACATAACAAGGTCAAACCATTGAGAGGCAGTCTGACGTTTGCCAACAATATAATTCAATTCAATTCAATTTAATAAAACTCAAACTCACACACACATTCTCATTTTCAATCTCAAACAACAACAATTGTGAACAATTTAATTTTTTTATTTTCAATTTTATATGATTTTAAAATGTTGGCAATCGTCAGAAAAAAATCATGGCCGACGAATTGAGAGAATGAATTTACCTTGTAATGTTTTTATCATACTATTTACTCTCGGTACTCGCCTCGTCTTGGTCTAGTAGGGGGACTTAATCTTCGTGCCGATTTTATGGGTTCTTCTTCGCCAAATGCGCCATCTATGTATTCAAAAGCATTGAGAAGTGTTTCCTCCATATCTCAAGTATACTCTGAGCATACTAGCGCTGCGATCTGGTTGATCTATTAGCCAATCTCAAGCTAATTATAATTATACCGCTGTCAAAGCCTGCTCCCGCTTGAGGCAGGACACTCGCAGATAACATATTTTTTGCCACTGCTCAGAGCCAGTTTAAGGGCGCGCAAGAAGAGAAATGCCAGCAGACAACGTCCCACCTTTCTCTTGAGGGATAGGATAAACTTCGTAAGCTTTTTGTCATACGCTCTACACATAATCCTGCAGCCTTGTATTCCACACCTTCTGCGCCTTCCGGATCAGGGGCAGGTCCGGCTTCCCATTAAATCTTACTTAAAAAGTTAGTGAATTCTTTTTGTGTTTTTGGTATATAGTATAACGTATGGAAAAGTCCATTAATAAGCCTTTTTGGATTCTAAACCAAATTTTGTTCAGGCTTCAATGTATGAAGGTATATATCGGTTGTCCTCTGCAATAATGATTGAATTTAAAATTCA